AGGATGATACAACGTGCCTGGTTGTCGATATTATTCCTTCTGACATGCCTGTCCTACCTTCAACACCTATGAAAAAGCAGAATGTGCTCAGTTCTTTTCTTTTCGGGAAGAGATCTCTAAATTCTACAAACAAAACTAAAAGTAAACTCTTGGCCGTTGGAGTTGTTAAAGAGCTATTTGAGGAGGGTTCTGCAATGCTTGCTGAAAGGTTTGTACGTTGGAACTTTACTTTGTCCTAATTTTTTTTTTGATAGGAATAAAAGGCCTCCAAAAAACCCCCTTGGTGGTTAACGGAACTTAAAAATAGTTCCTTGACCCACACAAGGAGGAAAGGAGTGCCCTAGGATTCAATAAATTCAAATAAAACAAAGTATACAACCCATCTCCCTCAAGAGAGATAAAACCAAAAAGAAACAGTCCTTAACAGAGCATAAATCACCCAATACCCGCCTTAGCTAGGACATCCGCCTCTATATTGGCTGTCCTACTAACCCACCTAATAAAACCTTCAAAAACACTAAGCTTTTGAATAATGTCTTTAACTATTTGAACATAAACAACAGGACAAGAGACCACATCCTTAATCCAGTCAACTGCCACCTGACTATCACTCTCAATAATCAGTCTATCTTTAACCCTATGACGAATAGATTCAAAAAAATCTAAACCCTTTAGGATAGCCTTCAATTCCATTAAAGTTGGGGGCCCCGGACCAGCCGGCTCTTTGAAGGAACCAAGAATCGAACTAGACATGTCTTTCAAAATACCACCTAAGCCACTCCTCTTCCAATCACTCGAGGTAGCCGCATCCACATTAAGTTTAACAAAACCTTTTGGAGGTGGGGACCAAGGAAACACGGTTGAAACCGATAAGAATGGGATGAGTAGGAATCCACTATGGACGGGTCAGCAATAATATCATCCTTGGAAATACTAACATGAGTTTCCTTAGCTAGAAACCATGAAGCAAGCCTGCACCTTGCAAGAAAGAAAATCTCTGCTCGATCAAGCTTCCCTCCTTCAAACACAATAAAATTCCTGGTCTTCCAAATTGTCCATAGAACAGCTCCAGGAATGAATGGCCAGATAAGAGAGTTGGACTTCAAGTCATTCCAAGCCAATAGGAATCTTTTAGCCTCTGTATGAAAAACCGATTGAAAATTCCAATATCCCAAGAATTTCATCCAAATTGGCCAAACAAACGAACATGAAAAAAATAAATGCGATGAAGACTCCTCTTCAAGATTACAGAAAGAACACAAAGTATCATTTATGCCCTGAACACCTCTCTTAACCAGAGCTGTCTTGACCGCCAACTTCTTTAATATAACTTGCCAAAGAAAAGTCTCAACTCTTGGAGGCAACAGACCCCTCCAAACATTAGACTTCCAAAATTTAGCTTCCTCTGAATCGGGAGAACCCGAATAAGATAGGTTGACACATGATTTCACTGTATAAACCCCTTCCCCATTCCCCTTCCAAAACAATCCATCAGTGGCATCAGCAGAAATAGAGAAATCAGAGATCACAACCATCAAATTTGCCCATTGCTCAAATTCCCAGTCATTCAACTCTCTCCTCAACTGAACGTTCCAAATCCAACCCCTTGAACTGAACTCCCCAAACTGAGTTAATCTTCCTTCTTTATTTACTGCAATAGAAAATATTCTAGGGAACAATACCATCAACGGATGATCCATAGTCCAATTGTCTTGCCAAAACCGAATGCTCCTCCCATTGCCAATTTTAAAGCTATATTTACCTCTGATACTACAGCCCAACGAATCAGCATTATAATGGTTTCTCACCATATCTCTCCACATCCAGGATAGTTTAGGAGAGACTTTACTGTCAAACTGCATCAAGGAAGGATCCAATTTATATTTGATGCAGAGCAATTCCCTCCAAACCGCCTCCCTCTCAATAGCAAACCTCCAAGCCCATTTTTCCATGAGTGCCCTATTCACCACCTTTAAATTAGGAACCCCCAATCCTCCTTCAATTTTAGGTTTACAAACATCGGACCAGCTTACCCAATGTATCCTCTTTCTCCCATCACCACCTCCCCACAAAAAATTTGACATGATAGAATTTAGAGTCTTGTAAACTGATGCTGGAACCTTGAACATTGACAAAAAGTAAATAGGGAGTGAGCATAGCACTGATTTAATTAGAACTAGCCTGCCTGCCAGTGACAGAGAGGAGCCTTTCCATCCCGCCAGCCTCTTATTAAAGCTTTGAAACTTTGTCCTAATTTTAATTTCACCTTTTTCTTTATAATATGCATGCGGGGAAGGAGTGTTTGTTATCTTCCAAAAACTTGCAGAAGTTACTAATGCAATGCTGTTCATGTGTATTCCCGTAAGTAGATTTTATGTTTGACACGTTACTCGCAATCGATCAGCCAAGTTCTTACATAACGTCAAATTTGCACCTGAATGCCTGGAGCAAGGATTACCAGGTTTTATATTTGACCAACAAAACAAAGTAGATCAATCTCTAACCCCATTGATTTCATAACAAAAATTTGCAGGTTAGGTAAGGATTTTCCCACAAGTACAAACTCGGGAATATTCAAATGTGCGGTCTGTCAAGTTGATCAACCTCCGGCAGAGGGTTTAACTGTGAACTCCGGGCCATTTTTCTCACCTGCTTCAAAGCCCTGGGAAGGACCTTTTCTCTGCACAAACTGTCGGAAAAAGAAAGACGCCATGGAAGGAAAAAGGGCAAGCAAACCCACGGTGATTGCATAAACATCTTTTCCGGTTACAACGTAAGTATGATGTATTCTTTTCCCCTGGCAGTGTGAACATGCTTTGTTTCCCATTACCTGGTGATTGCAGTAGATGATCTGAGTTAGAGATCAAGAGGTAGGGTTGTTTTGCCATTGTTATTTTTATGAGTTTACATTTGTGCTCGGCTGTTTCACCGACCAACTCGGGACGAAGATGGTGTCTGATAGATATTTGTTGATCATAGTTTGAATTGCTAACCGCTTGAATTTGTAATTAAAAGTGAAGATTGCAAAATGTATATGTATTTCTGGTTCCTTCCTGCATTAAACTTGATTGTGCTTTAGCCAACCATTAGAACTTGATTGGTGCAACTGAGCTGTTCTTAGTAATCTTGTAGCATTGATGGTGAAATTTGTTGATCACTTGAAGAAATTTTAAGACAAGGAGGAATTATAGGGTAAATTATCCATCACTCACCAAATTATCGGGTTTGTTCTATTTTGGTTACCAGACTAAATTTTCTTGTGATTTAGTTGCTATTTATTAAACTTTAAACTGAGTGCCTGATGTGTCAACTTTTTATTTGGTATAACTATGTATTTAGTCACCAACACTTGTAAATCCTATTAATTTGATCCAAATTTTAAATAATTAAACAAGTTTACCCCTCATTTTACAAAACTTTTCAACTCAGCTCCCCTCATTTACAAGTTCAACCTTCCTTATTTATAAAGTTTATCAATATGGTTCTAATCATCAAATTTAAAAAAAAATTATAATTATAAAAATTCAATTTGTTCTTTCACTTTTTGAATTTTTAGGATCATGACCAAATTGGTAGACTTTGTAATCATGGAGGTTTAAACTTGTAGGTACGATGGCTAATATTTTTGAGTGACTTAAAACTATAAATCAAATTGATAGGATATGTGACTGTTGAGGACTAAGTGTAGTTATACAAATTAGTTTAATGGACAATGACTAAATTGAAACCAAATTATAATGCAGGTGACTAAATTTGTGACTTTTAGTTTGATGATCAAAATAGGACATGCCCAATAGTTATATGGCTATGGGATGATTTACCCAAAATTATAATTTTAGTTATAAATTTCGTCTTCTACTCTGCAAAAGTTAAAGAAGTTAATTTTCTTACTTTAATTCATTAGAATTTTGTTATCAAAATTTGAGAAATTAATTTAATTGGATAATTTTATTAATCTTTACTGTCAAAATGTTGATTTGGAAATTAATACTTCAATAATTTTATTCGTAAGAAAATAGTAAAAAATAAATTGTTTAAGTTCATAAATTTATCAAAAATTAATTATTTCATAAATTTAAGAAGTATAAAATTCAGAATTTGACATTAATTTTCTTTTTTTAATTTCCAGTAGAAGAATAGGAAATTTAGGGTCCGTTTGGTTCAAGAAATTATAAGATGTTTTCATTCTCATTTTCTTAGAAAGTAGAAAACATTAAAGAAAACATGTTTGGTGAAAAAAATAGAAAATGATTTCTAGAAAATAAAAATAAAAATAAGTGAAAATATGAAAACATAAAAAAGATGATTTCAGTATTTTCATTAAAATTATTTTGGAAACTTGAAAAATAGAAAAATATGAAATCTAGATTTTTAACTTAATTTACGCATATTCAAATCCTTCTAATAATAATTTTTTGAATTAATGGTATCTAAAACCTCAAACTTTTGAAAAAATCAATATGGTCCCTAAATTTTTTTACACACAGTGTGGTTCTTAAACTAATTTTTTTTAATAATTTAATTTTTAGCATTTTTATATTTTATTTATTAAATATCTTAATTTTTTTTGAAAAATTAAATAAGTCCTCAAACTTTCTAAAATATTAATTAGACCCTCAAACTTAGTAAAAAATCAATTAAACTTGTTTACCACATCATTATACATTGTGTGCTACTACAACAACATAATGAATAATCACATCAATATTGTATATTATCATGTAAACTTTGTGAATTATCATATAATCGTCTTGACGGTTTGATTCAGTTAGTCAACAATTAAATAGATTTTTTGTGTTATGAAATTTCTTATCGATTTTATTGTTTTTGCACAACTCACATGTTAAATTTATGTAATGAAGATTTATGTAATTTAATTATATTTTAATACCAAATATATTTTTGCAATTTTTATTTTTAAATTTAAGTTTTCATTTACATTAACTAAACATATTTTCTAATTTTCAAAAAACTGAAAACTGAAAAATATTTTCTAAAAATAAAAATAGAAAATATTTTCTAAAAACAAACGGATCATTATTCGATAACACAAGGAAAATCAAGTGTACGCCATAAAGAAAAAAAAAGATGAAGATAAAGAGATTATTCAGTTAGGAGGCAGCCATTGCAGCTCAATGCCAAAGTTCCATGACTCGATGCTATCATCAGCCTGTTTATCGACCACACAAGTGTACGCCGTGCACCCGCCGACCCGAACCCTTATCCGATGCGAAGTCATCGACGAATCCTTCAAAAAATGGCAGCAAAGCGTCCCCCTGCATCCGCGCCCTTCCCTGGACTTCTCGAACTCCCTACAAAAACTACTCGACGAACAATTCAACGGCGACAAGAGAATATTATCAGAGCAATTAAACAACATGACCGTGTTACGTGTCGATATGTTGAAAGGCAAGCTCTCGTCGAGCGACAAGCCGCCTTGGTTGAGATCGGACGAGTAACAAGTGTCTAGGTTGATCGAAGGCGGCTTTATAACGAGCTTATTAGCCTTGGGGCTGACGCTGAGGATCTTGTAGGACGAACCTTCAGCCGACATGAACTCGAGGACGCCGTCGTTGCAGTAGATTCGGTACCTCGGATCACCACAGTTCTCAGCGGTGCTGAGTGGATACGGGACTTTTGTCTTGCCACATTTGGGACATAGGCGATAAGCTGACACTTGGGTTACTAAAATGAACAAGAAAACTATCGCATGCACCATTGTTTGGGTTTTTAACAACATAGAAACTACAATGACAAATAACCAAATTTTCTTTTGAGCAATGAAAGAGCCTGCACACATGATGGTCCTTTATATAGGCAACCAGGGATGGACACAGCGGGTGGACGAGGACAATCTCTTCTTAAAATTTTAAACTATTAAATATTCTTTTATATTTTCTATTAATAATCACTTGACCTAAAATATAAGGGGTACTTGATGACACCCAAAAGGTAGGGCTGTAAATGAGACGAGACAAATCACGAGCTACTCGAGATTGATTTGATCAATGCTCGATAAATACTCGGATCGAATGGACTCGACTCGAGCTCGAGCTCGACTCGAGTTCTTAACGAGCCGAAACGAGCTACTCGATATTCGACTCGAAAAGCTCGTGAGCAGCTCGAAAATATAATATTTTAAGATTTTATTTTTTTAGAAATAAATTATTAATAATATTAATATTTATGTATTGATTTTTTTTAAAAAAAATATAGTAAGATTTCTTGTATTTAAGGTTCATGTTCGAGTTTGAGGTTTCAATCGAGTTAAGTTTAAGATTTTTTTTTCATTTCGAGCCTTTTCGAGCTGCTCACGAGCTTCAGTTTAGGATTTCGAGTTCGAGTCGAGCTTGAAAATTTTAAGTTCGCGAGTTTTTGAGTCGAGCTCAACAATACTCGATCTCGACTCGGCTCGTTTACACCCCTACCCAAAGGTGAACATAAAAACAAAAGATCAAATAGTGCATCTCATTTTTAGTGCATTATCAGCCAATTGGAGCTCGAAACGCGTGCATATATGTACTATGTTTGGAAGACTATTATACTAATATATATGCATGTTGGTCACATTACCTTTTAGCTACTTACAGTCACATCAATAGTAGCATATTATATCTCTAAATCTAACCACGAATCCTTATAATATCATGTTCTAAATTTTAGAAAAACTATTTGTTGACGAAAACGGGTAAAGAAAACAAAAGAACACGAGAATTTTACGAGGTTCGGCAATGTGTTTACGTCCTCGGTGCCTAGGCGGCGCTAGAAGTTTTTATTCAATGATATTTTAGGTCTAGGTTACATCTCTATTTATAATAGAAAACCCTGGTACATAATTACAAAATTAACCATGTACCGTACCGCGGGGCTGCGCCCCCGCACCCCCAACCCACATAATTCGTAACCCCACAACGAGACTTTCTTTGTAAGGACAGTTGATGTTCGCTTCGCTCACTCCGCTCCATCTCCTGTCCTCTTTACTGGTATATTTATGAGTCATACCTAACAAATCTCCACCTTGGCGAATATCCTGCCTCTTGGAAAATTCAATGTGGGTTGGGTTACCTTGATTCTTTAACAACTCGAAACATTCAACAAGTCCAAGCAATGCTTGAACTTGTTTGTCGTAACTGGCTTAGTGAACATATCAGCGGCATTTTCATCAGTATGTACCTTCTGAAACAAAACCTCTCCAGATGCAACCAACTCTCTGATCTTGTGGAACCTTACATCAATATGTTTAGTTCTAGCACGATACACCTGATTCTTAGCCAAGTGAATAGCACTTTGATTATCACAAAGCAACTGAACTCCACCTTGTTGAACACCCAACTCCTTCACTAAACCAGTAAGCCATAAAGCTTCTTTTGCAGCTTCAGCCGCTGCCATGTACTCAGCTTCAGTTGTAGATAGAGCCACAATAGATTGAACAGTAGACTTCCAACAAATAGGCCCTCCACCAAGAGTAAAGACATACCCTGTCGTAGATCTTCTATTATCCAAGTCACCTGCATAGTCTGAATCCACATATCCTACAACCAAAGGATTATCCCGCTGACTCCCAAAAACAATTCCATGTCCCACAGTACCCTTTAAGTACCGAAAGATCCACTTGACTGCTTCCCAATGTTGCTTACCAGGTTTAGACATGTACTTACAAACTTGACTAACAGCATGAGCTAAATCAGGACGAGTACATACCATCGCATACATCAAGCAGCCAACAGCATTAGAATACGGAACCTTTGCCATATCTTCAGCTTCCTTATCTGTCTTGGGGCACTGTTCTGATGAGAGCTTAAAGTGATTCGCCAATGGAGTGCTAACTGGTTTTGCGCTGCTCATCGCAAACCTTTCTAGCATTTTCTCAACATAACCCCGTTGAGATAGCCGCAGTTTCCTTGAGTCTCTGTCCCTGTAAATTTCCATTCCAAGAATTTTCTTTGCAGCACCTAAATCTTTCATATCAAATTCCTGACTCAATAAAGTTTTCAAACCGATAACATCATCCATGTTCTTCGCAGCAATCAACATATCATCAACATACAGTAATAGAAAAATAAAAGAACCATCATTAAGGCTCTTAACATAGACACAACAATCATACTCACATCGGTTGTAGCCAATCTTGATCATATAGGAGTCAAACCGTTTATACCACTGTCTCGGAGACTGTTTCAACCCGTACAAAGATTTCTTCAATCTGCAAACTAAATGCTCGTTTCCAGGTTGAGTGAAACCTTCAGGTTGCCGCATGTAGATCTGCTCCTCTAAATCACCATGCAAAAAAGCAGTTTTAACATCCATCTGCTCTAAATGCAAATCCCAACTAGCCACCAATGCAAGTACTACTCGGATTGAAGTGTGCCTGACCACAGGAGAAAAGATTTCATCATAATCAACTCCTTTCTGCTGTGAAAAACCCTTCGCTACCAAACGAGCCTTGAACTTCTCCCCCTCTTTTTCTGTTACTACTGGTTTCTTCTTATACACCCATTTGCAACCAATCGGCTTCTTACCCTTAGGAAGGAGAACTAACTCCCATGTGCGATTGTGATTCAAAGACTCCATCTCCTCAACCATGGCTGCCATCCACTTGTCGTTTTCCTGACTAGTAACGGCATCATGAAAAGTAACCGGATCATCACTGCTAACAATAAGTGCAAAAGATACCAAGTCTTCAAAACCCAATCTGTTCGGAGGCTTTATATTCGTCCGTCTCACCCTGTCTCTGGCGAGACTATAATCCTGCAAATCATCCGTAGTGGAACCACCAGAAGTCGGTTGAGAAGTTTCTGGTTTCTCAACTGGAAACTGCTCGAAATCCACCACTGTCGTGTCTTGCTTCTGCTGCAACATGGATTGTTCATCAAAAACGACATCTCTACTAATCACAACTTTCTTCGCAACTGGATCCCAGAACTTGAATCCTTTGACACCTTTCTTGTAACCCAGAAAAATGCACTCCTTCGATTTTGCATCAAGTTTGGATCTCTCATCAGCAGGTACATGCACATAAGCAGGACAACCAAAAATCCGTAAGTTATCAAAACTAACATCATGACCAGTCCATACCTCTTCTGCAACTTTCCCAGCCAGCGATGCCCTTGGCGATCTGTTGATAAGGTAACACGCCATGTTAACAGCCTCAGCCCAGAAGTGTTTGGGAAGCCCCGCATTCAACCGCAAACATCTGGCTCTTTCATTCAACGACCTGTTCATTCGTTCCGCAACACCATTCTGTTGTGGTGTCTTGCGCACTGTAAAATGCCTCTGAATCCCATGCTCCTTACAGAATTGTAGGAACTGTGAATCTGTGTACTCCGTACCATTGTCAGACCGCAAACACTTGATTTTTCGTCCTGTTTGGTTTTCTACCTCAGCTTTCCACAGCTTGAACTTCTCAAAAACTTCAGATTTCTGTTTCAAAAAACACCCAAACTTTCCGTGAAAAATCATCAATAAAAGTAACATAGTACCTAGATCCACCCAAAGACGATGTCGTGGAAGGCCCCCATACATCAGAATGCACATAATCAAGAATCCCTTGAGTTGTGTGCTTCGCAGTCTTGAAACGGACTTTAGTCTGTTTACCAAGAACACAATACTTGCAAAAGTCGAGCTTACAGCTTTTGACACCATGCAACAAGTTTCTCTTGTGTAATTCTGCCATACCACGTTCACTAAGATGAGCAAGGCGCATATGCCACAATTTTGTCGTATCATCACAGGACTCAACAGAGTGAACTCCACCTGCAACGGTACTCCCTAACAATCTGTAGATATTCCCTGCAGTCATCTTGCCTTTCATCACAGTCAATGCTCCTTTAACAATCCGAATGGTTTCCCTATCCTCGTCAGCCTTAGGGATAAAACCATTCTTGTGCAAAGTGCCCAAGGAAATCAAATTCTTCTTCAAGTCTGGGATATGTCGAACACCACTCAACGTCCGAACGGAGCCATCGTGCATCTTAATTCTGACATCACCAATACCAACAATATTGCAACATCGATCATCACCCAAATAAACCGAACCAGAATTAACCGGCCTGTATGTCGAAAACCATTCCCTATTTGGCGTGATGTGATAAGAACATCCAGAATCAAGAATCCAAGCATCCGTCAATTGTGTCGTTGAAATAGAAAGCATATCACCCTCACTGCAATCAGAATTATCATCCTCGACCACGTTCACAGACTTGGATGAGCCATCACGCTTCTCATCAGTCTGCTTTTTCAACTTCGGACAGTCTCGCTTCATATGTCCCGCCTCCTTGCACTTGTAACAGTGAATCGTCTTCTTATCCCTGGATTTGGATCTGGAATTCCGCTTCCCGGACCCTGCCTTCTCTGGCTTCCGTCCACGATCTCGATTACCCTTGACATATAAGCTATCGGCTTGAGAGCTTTCCCCTGCATTCTGCTTCCGCTGGTTGTGAGCCAACAAGGCTGCAGTAATCTCCTCAACATTGATAGTCTCTTTCCCATATGTAAGAGTAGTCACCATGTGTTCGTAAGAGGGAGGCAACGAACACAACAGAATCATCGCTCTGTCTTCATCCTCAATTTTCACATCAAGCCGAGCCAGATCAGAAACGATTTGATTGAATACATTCACGTGTTGCGCCAAATCGTGATCGTCCTGCATCTTCAGCCCATACAGCCGATGCTTCAGATACAGTTTTGTCGTTAAGGATTTGGACATAAACTGACTTTCCAACTTCCTCCAAATTTCGTCTGGAGACGATAGATGCATGACGTGATACATGACCTCGTCCGCCAAGCATAATCGTATGGTTCCTGCCGCTCGCTGCTGCAATTCTTCCCAATCTTCCTCATCCATCGACGCCGGCTTTGTAGATCGCAAAGCCTTCAAGATCCCTTGCTGCGCCAATAGATCCTTCACCCTCGTTTGCCATAATCCGAAGTTACCCTGACCATCGAATTTCGCGACTTCGAATTTTGCTCCTGACATCTGATACCAATTGTTGACGAAAACGGGTAAAGAAAACAAAAGAACACGAGAATTTTACGAGGTTCGGCAATGTGCTTACGTCCTCGGTGCCTAGGCGGCGCTAGAAGTTTTTATTCAATGATATTTTAGGTCTAGGTTACATCTCTATTTATAATAGAAAACACTGGTACATAATTACAAAATTAACCCTGTACCGTACCGCGGGGCTGCGCCCCCGCACCCCCAACCCACATAATTCGTAACCCCACAACGAGACTTTCTTTATAAAGACAGTTGATGTTCGCTTCGCTCACTCCGCTCCATCTCCTGTCCTCTTTACTGGTATATTTATGAGCCATACCTAACACTATTAAATTATTTTTAAAAAAAATATTAAATTTAGTTTAACGTATTAAAGGAGTTAGAAAAAAATTAAAGAAATCACATACTCATTTATAAAATGAAAAAAGAAAATTAAAATTATTGACCTTATTTTAAATATTCGTCCGTAGATCTTATAAAAGGAAAAAGAGAATTGTCTTGTCAATATGACTCAAACAATTCGAAAACGTGCATGCATGGCGAGAAGAACGGCAGCTAGAAAATTTACTTTGAAGGGTTAAATTTAAAGAAAATTTATTTTTAGGAGTTTAATATTCTTTTTAAAAATATATTAATTTTATTTATTATTAAATATTTTCATATTAAATTTAAAGTTTAATTTTTTTTTTGAAATGTTATATGACACTACTCATCATAAACTGGCTTTGCCAATGACAATTAGAGTTAAGTTTCCATGCACATGAAACGACTTTTTTATTTTATTTTTCTTATTAGTCTAATAACCATTTTTTGTATTTAAATCAAAATCAAAAGGTACGAACCAAATAACTTCTATAGTGAAGGAATTGTTGTTATTTCTTGAGGACTCGGGTTCTAGCACCATAAATGTCAGGGGTGTGAGCATTCAATGTAAAAAGATTAAAAGTTATCTTTGAATAGATACTACCATATACGCACTCATTAATAAAAGAAAATCAAAAGACTTTTTACCTCATATATGAATTTCTTTTGAAATATCCAACATATTTTTACCATCATTCACACCGTTAATTAAGAATCTCGGCAAAATAGCCGGAATAATGCATACGGGGAGGTTTAATTCCCCAAATAATGCACTTTAATTATTATTTCCCCAAATGGGGTGATTGCTATAGGAAATATGGAAAGCTCGGCGTCTTCAGGCTGTCGTCGTCTTCAACTTGGATATCCCGGCGTTTTTAGGGTTAATTTTTACATGCCAAGGTGGATCTCTCAGCGTCTTCACCTGTCGTCTGATGGGAATGCTCGGCGTCTTCAAGCAATTGGACTGCGGGATCTCTCGGCGTCTTCTGCATGCTACAAGACATGCCAAGGTGGATCTCTCGGCGTCTTCACCTGCGTCTGATGGGAATGCTCGGCGTCTTCAAGCAATTGGACTGCGGGATCTCTCGGCATCTTCTGCATGCTACAAGGAATGCCAATGTGGATCTCTCGGCGTCTTCACCTGTCGTCTGGCGGGAATCTCTGCATTACTCTCTGAATCGTGCATGCATTATGGGGGCCTGAACGTCTTCATCTCTGCATGCATGCACAGTTGATTTAACAGTTCAATACAATAATAATAGGAGTGCTCGGCGTCTTTAGTTAATAGGGTTACATGGGCGTTCGATTTCCCGGCGTCTTAAGATATACATGGAGAATATTTGGTTGCAGGTGATCGTGAAATCTCGGCGTCTTCTTCTTCCGAGATTCGTTCTGCATGCGTCTGTTGAGATTCGTCTGAAGCGTGAGATTCGTCTGAAGCGTGAGACTAATAATATACTCGAAGTCTTCAATTACTTGTTATAAAATAGGGGTGGGTATTGTATTTCATTGCATGCAGTTGGTTTTAACTTACAGAAGCAAGTGAGGGAATTTTTTTTTGCATTAGATTCAATTGAAGCTGCTGCTTGAAGTGATATTGGAGATTTTTGTTGGTTCGGTAATTTTTCGAGCTTTGGTTTAACGTCGTTCAAAAACACGTAAGTTCTTTCTCGTTTCCCATGCGAACTCTGTTTTTTTCGTGTTGAAAGAATGCTCATATATGTTAGGAGAATGATACATTTAAATTTTGTTCATGAGACCATAGTAATGTAATTTAGAGTACTAATGATAATTTAAAATTAGAAAATGTAAGTTTGATGATTAGGTATACAGAAAATTTAAGTTTGAGTATTATTGTTAATTTAAATTTTCGTGTAATTTTTAGTTGTATTTTTATATAATAATTATTAGAATTTTTATTTTGATTTAGTGGGAAAAAAATTCCCATTATGTAATCCTGATATTTTTACCGTAATAATAATGTATTTAAGTATTATTTTTATAAAACAATTGTTAACATAATTTATATTTATTATTTATAGTTTTGTAAATAATTAATTTTCATTACATTATTAATGTAATTTATTCTGAATATCTATATTTTTACGTGTAGAGAAAATGAGCAACAAATTTTTCACAATTGTCCATTACAATGGACATATGATGGAAAATGAGGTCGGAGTTATTTTTCAGTCTGAAACACCTATAAATATGATGTTTAAAAGGGACATCACATTTGCAGAGATCAAGGAGAGGATAGAAAGAAAAATACGTGCTAAAGTTGATGGTTTGAGGTACAGATTTATGGTATGTCCCAATCCGGTCAGGTATGCTGCAGTACCACTTGAAGAAGACGATGATATTATAACTATGGTTGAATTACATGACTCAACAAATATTCCAATTATTGAGTTATTTGTTGAGTTGTGTAATATATCTAATGTGCCTGGGTCATCAATAAATGCGGTTGAAACTTCATCTCAAATGGGTTTCGAGAGTCATTTCGATAACCCAACATATAGGTCGATGAACAGCTTTGTGGCGATGTTGGAAAGCGCAAATGAAGTTGGTGGAACATCTGGTGCCGCAGAGTATGATGCTGAAAACCGCTGTGAAGAAATACTTGAAGATTCCAGTGAAGATGAAGAAACTGAGGAACCTCTTTTGGCTGAGGATGATGCCATGTTCCATGGTGATGAAGCTGATATCAATATTGATGAATATTCGACATCGTATCAACCTACTGAGTGATTGATGAGGAACATGCTGAGGAGTGTAGGGCGTAACACCAGAATCACCAACCATTTGACTAAATGATCTTGTGTGATCAAAAGATTCTGGTGGGATATTATCCATTGTCTCTTGTTCTGCTCCACGGTGAGAAGAACTCCCACTCCCAGTCCTTCTTGGTTTCTCGGGTTTACCGAATTTTTTGGTATACTCTATAAATTGTCGCCTTTCTCTGATCGTTGTCAAGAACGGCTTTCCATGTTCCCAAAAATAATTCAGGTAATCCGAACTCTTGAAGTCAAAGTCATCTGGTTGTATGGGAGTGAGCGTTGGCAAGTATGAACCCCTGTTGTTCCAATGATTGATATGGTTAGCATGCCTCACCGACCAATCCTCACCGACCCTACCCCGCCCATCTAATCGATGGAGAGCATCATGATTCTCTGGAATGACTGGAATATGTTGGTGGAAGCCGAACTGCCTCAACACTCTATCGGCAAATTGGAACTCCACAAACATGAAATGGATCAATGGTGTAACAGCACACCAATATTCACAACCCTCCCAGACATGTTGCGGTACGCACGACATAATTTCTTGATCATGGTACGGCCTCCAAATAAACTATAAAATAAAATTATATAGTTATTATTTAATTAAATAATTATAAAAATCAACAAATTAATAAATAACAATATTATAATATAAACATAATAAAAAATAAATTCACTTATTAATTTTATATATACCTCAACTTTGCATTTGATGTCAATCTTAAACCTAAACTCTTTCACGTTGTTGTGCGCCAACCCCGTTCTTTCTATTTTATGCCTCCATCTGTATACCAATCAAAATAAAATTTGTAATTATTTTTCATTTACAAAATATTCTTTATTTAATTAAAGATAAAATATTTTAAATCAATAAAATTACCTTCCGGCAAGAGGAAAGTCAACTGCAGTTCGGCTAATCGGTGTTAACCATGGAATTCTGTACCACGCCCACGATTGTAATAACATCGTGCATCCACCGATTTCAGTCGTGTACGCATCATTAACAATTAATGATGCCTTGCACATCTCGCGATACAAGAATGCCAATATTGCTGATCCCCAACTATATTGACGGGTCATAAAGAAGTTCTCCAAAAACGGAAGATATTGTATATGGACAAGATTACTGGATTTATCTGGCATCAAGATTCCGCCGATCAAACGTAATATATATGCTCGAGTTGCATATATAATGTCTCGCTCACTACATTGTGGATCGAGCTTAAACTCATTTGCCAACCAGGATAATCTCAACCGTGACCCTTTTGCTACATCTTTGTCTGGTACCTTCCCAAGGTAACGCTCACATATTGCAAACATGTCAAGATCTGTATTTCCAACCACTGCCATTCCATTTGTAGGAACCCCTAGTTGTAAAGCCACATCCTCCAAAGTGATCGTACATTCACCACATGGAAGATGAAAAGTATGAGTTTCTGGTCTCCACCTTTCAATTAATGCACTTATCAAACCGGGGATCAACCGAAATTCTCTTACAAAAGCAACATCATAAAAACCCACTGTTTTCAAATTATCAACAATACGTTGATCTGGCATCTCACAGTTGATAAGTCGAGGACGAAGGACTCGTTGTTCGTCATCCTGCAATTTATTAGTCATTGTAATTAGAATTAATACACCGTTCTCAAATAAAAAAATAAGTCGATCATATTACCAGTTCTCCCAAATTACTCGAAATGTGTCGACCATCTAGCCTCAAAAGAACATTTTCTTCGGCCATGTTTCAACAAATCTAGACAAAAAAAAAATTAAATATTACACTCAATTATTACATTGTTTTATTCAAATAATCAATTGCATGTTATCTACTTTAATAAAAAATAAACATAAAATATAAAATGATCCCTAATTACTATTTGCTTCTCAACATTTTCAAACTTTGCAATTTAATCACTAAATTTATAAATTCTTTCAAATTTAACCAATTAAGCATATTAATACTAAATTCAAGCATAGTATACCAACTTTTTATAATTTACTCTAATTTCTTAAATTCCTCAAATTTTGCAAAACGATCCCTAATTACTATTTGGTTCTCAACATTTTCAGAGTTAGCAATTTAATCCATAAATTTTAAATTCTTTCTAATTTAACCAATTAAGCATACTAATACTAAATTCCAGCATAGTATAGCAACTTTTAATAATTTACTCTTATTCCTTAAATTCCTTAAATTTTACAAAACGGTCCCTAAAACTTTACAATGTTCCAAAATGGTCCCAACCTTATTTCAAATTATGTAACAACATATAAATTATTATTTCAAAGTGTAACAACATATAATCACAAAATTAATAAACTTATGAAACTAAAATTATGAGATCAATATGAAACCCTAAACCTTTAAAACAAGAATCAAATGAGATCTAGGGCTTGAGTTTAAATTACCTCAGGCTATACTTTGTGATCTTACTGCTGATCAATCTCCCTCTCAAGCTCTCACTGCTTCTGTAATTGTGAATTGCCTCAGCCCCAAACTCTCACATTGCCTCAGCCTCAGCCCGAGCAGTCTCTTATAAACACATTCGTAACTCATCCATGCATTAGGATTTATTTGTTAAGAAGACGCCGAGCTATCCAGCCTTCCATGCAAAGACGCTGAGAAATCCTTACCTAAATGTAAAGAAGACGTCGAGAAATCCAACAGTTGCATGCCCCCCACATGCAGAAGTGCAGGACCCCCACATGCAGACGTGCAGCCTTGCAGGACCCAGGACCCGTGATTTCTCCTTGCAGAACCCGTGCTCTCTCCTTGCAGAACCCGTGATTCTCACGTCCAGTCC